TTTTTTGTAGCCCATCCATCTAATTAATTGACAAAATAATTTTAATAATTTTACTGATCCCGAATGCATTTGTTAACGCCTATCTGTCGCGACAGGTGAACCATTGATAAAATCCGTTTGTCGAAATAGCGATCGTGCATAGAAATGCGGAAAATACACGCTATTGTGCGTACAACAAATGTCTAATGCGAGCTGCAACGCGAAATTAGTGAATAAATTCGTGATAAATAAGTTAAAATATTTGATAATAATATAAATCTTTTTTAATATCAAATATTTAAATATATAAATATATATATAAATATCTGAAATATATATACACATATCTGTGTGTGTGTGTGTGTGTGTGTGTGTGTGTGTGTGTGTGCATATATTGCTTGAGAATTAAATATTTTAATATAAATAATATAAAATTGCTATTAATTCTAAATTAACCTGTATACAAAAATATTTTTTTATTCTATGACAAAATAATTATTAAATCACATCATTTTACTTAGCTTTGTTATAAAGCTGAGTTATTATTATAGACTGTAAAAATTAGGATATAAAATTAGGATACTGTTACCAAGAAGTACAAATGAAAACTATTAGCGCGGTTTTCATTAATCGGTACAATAATGTACGTAAGTAAAATATTTCGTCTGCTAGAATTTATATAGCACTCACTTTACTTTTATTTATATATAACTGTAAGAAATACCTATATATGCACTGCAAGAATCTTAAAATTTACAATATTTCTTTTGTAAATTAAAATTCTATTATTTGTGACTTTTTACCAAAATCACAAATACACACTATCTGTATAACATACATTTTACTTTTATTATTTATATTTATGAGATTGCTTTATAAATTGCCTCAGACAATTAGTAATTCACGACATATATGAAAATGTGTCACCAAACAAATAATACATTGATGCAGTGAACTCTCATTTCTCTGCGTATGCGAGAATGCAAATATTGCAAATGCATCGATCCGGGATCAAATATTCTTTCTAATTCTATTTTGGCCCGTCCATTTTAAGGCACCAAATGTCTACGAGATATATCATATTTTTTTATATTTGCGTTAACTGTGGATGCATATTCATACATGCACATATATTATTGGATACAATTTTTTTAAATAAATTTATCTCCGTTATCTGAAAATAAAACAAATATTACTTTATCACTCAACGATCGATACGTAATAGCGAAATTATTGACTAGATCGATAATAATCTTGGGCTAATCCCGTAACATATAAGACCCACATATAAGATTTCAAATTATCACAATAATCAATATTTCAAAAAAATTGCATGTATCGAATTATATATTCGTTCTTCTAAATAAATTCTTAAATAATTGTACAATTTCTTAGAAAAGTTTTCTTTTTCAGGTAGAAACTTTTACAAAATTTCATATATATATATATATATAAATAAATTTTTTTCTGTTTCTTGTTTAAATTATCCAAATAAACGAATTAAACAGATAACACAAGGAACATAAAAATATTATAATACTTGCCTCAATATTGTTCCACCGGCATTCAATGCCTCCTTTTGTTCCCAGAACGAGATAGAGTTGTCAGGTTCATCGTACTCGCAAAAACACTCACGAAAATACTCGCGAAAATACTCGTGGCTAATTATGATGGCGGAGTAATTATCAAAAAAGTTTTTTGCGCGACCTTTTGTACGGCAGTCTCGCTTATAATACGACAGAATATCTCGTTCTGTAATTATGTAAAATAATAGTTCATTGTAATAATTGTAAGATATGAAAGCATTTGGTATCTTTATCCTTGTCATGTCTCAGGAAGTAATATAATGACACATGGAACATGTAAGTACCGCTACCTGCTTGCTCAAATGTCAGCGAGAGAATGGTGTGGCGACTTTGTGTACATAACAATGTGCTGAATATCGCAAGACAAAGACCAAGACCAAGATCGTACGTTAACCAGCTTGTTGACATAACAATATATTCAAACTATAAATTTATTTAAATTATTTTGTCTTTTGGTTACATTTCTAGTCAATTTAAACGAGCTGTTATTATAGATTAAATTCATTAAATTTAATGCTTATTTGGAAAAGAAAGTTTATTATTTTGATCGGAAAAGATATCTATCTATATACATGCACACATACTTAAAGTTAAATTTAAAAATTTTATACATGTATGTGTATCACAAAAATATTAGTATACCTATATACATATATTACAATTGTTATAATTTTATTCTTTTAGCAGGTTTTTAATGTACATTGTGTGCAAAATATTAATTAATTCTTTTCTTTAAAAATATGATTGATTACTCCGCTTTAAAAAATTATTTTTATTAATTATTTTACTTTGAAATGCCAAAATATTGATTATCTGTTTCCGCGGATGAACAGTTTTATTTTTGATCGTGTCGCGATATCGTTAGTTTCTTGGCAAGCTAACTGGGTAGCGAATCCTACCAAGAACTCACACTCACATACTTTGTCGCACGAACGTTTATATTGTCGAGACTCGGTTGGCGGGTCGACAAGGTATACCCGTAAATAAATTGCGCCCGTACCCAGGAGATTAGTTTGAGGATAAAATATTTAAACTTAATTCCATCCAAATAAATAATTCACTTAATATCCGGCGATTCGTATGCCCGCCATATCGTTACCCCCTTGATGCCGCGACGAGAGTAATATATCTGAGCGTAAAAACATGAATACGTACATTATACGCGACTGATACAAAATATTTTTCCAAAGTTGGAATAGCCCTAATACGTTATTATTGAAGATTGAAATTTTAACAGTGTTGAAAGAAAAAAGTGAATCACTTTAATTTATACAAGGAGAGTAAAATGTTTTGAAAAAAATATTACAAGTAAGTTATATATGAGTATTGCTTAAAACTCTAATAAAACTCGTTTATTTTTCTCATTTTAATTCTCTATGTTTGCTTTTAAGTATTTTCTATATCTTTGTAACGTGTGCGTCTTTACATGCAAATGGATACGTGTGGTATACATAATCGTTACGTACAGCAAACTTGTCTTCCACACGATTCTGAAATTATTCAAAGTTCTTTCTACTTAGTCGACGACGATCGTGGAAAACGCTTGCCAAGAACAGAGAGATGACTGGAGCCGACGAGCGTCGAAAGAGCATTTTTATCGGCCATGATAAAATGGTGTTCTAGTCGAGTTAAAGTTAAAGATCTGGAAAATCAGCGACTGTAAAGTTCGTCCCCTCCGTGTTGCGGTTGTTCTCCTGAATATGTAAACGCGCTACGGTTATTCGGGAAGATGATTCTGCCGCTACGGCCATATGGCTAAATCTGTTATTACGCTTCTATAATCATGCGCTGTTCCTGAACAATTCATCGCCCGCGGCCAAAATTATTTTCACAGATTTCATAGAAGCGCCAGCGTTGCTTGTTTTTCAATTTGCCCATGCTGAAATATTTTTCTCATTTTGCGTCGCTCTGGATGTTTTTGACTTTTGAACTTTTTATTTATAAAAATTGATAAATAATTGATGCAATAGAAAAATATGCATATAAGTGTGTGAAATTTGGTAGGACATACATACAAAACCATTTTTGTTATTTCTGAAGTTATAAATTATATAAAGTTAATCACACATTATATGCTGTGTGCTCTGAAAAAATAATCAATTATCCTACTTCACGCTGTCAAGAGCCTTCAAATAAAGAGGTGATTTATAATTCGCATTAGCTTTCAGAATAGAATTCTACTCATAATTTTACACGCTGTATATTTTAATTTAATATATGCGCACATTATTATATATCTTACACTGTCAAATATTAAAGAATGAAATTTAAACCATACCTTGAGTTAAATAACATTTTGTTATTTTTAATTGCCACGTGTCGAAATTTATTATTTTAACACAAAAACAGTATTATTTTAATTCCATTGGTTTAATTAAATTAATGGCATGTTAAGTAGGAGTAGCGGCTACCTATAGGAATGGTTAAAAATGACTCAAATTTAGTATAATTTGATACTATATGAATTTAATAATCATATCTTTTAATATATCTTAAATATATCTTTTAATATATGGGACAATCTACGTCATTATTTTACCCCCCATCTGTCCAAAATTGGTATGGACGGATTTTAATGACTAAGGGCGGAAAATGTTCGTCTTGAAAAGAGCTTTCGAAATATGCGCAATTCAACATGGCGTCATGTTGGATCTGAAATTTTGAATTTATCCCTTTAAGCAGTCATAACTATGATGCCATGTTGAATTGCGCATATATGCCACACGCCTTTCGAAAGCTCTTTTCAAGACAAACATTTTCCGCCCTTATAATCATTAAAATCCGTCTATACCAATTTTGGACAGATGGGGGGTAAAAGTGACGTGGAGTGTCCCATATATGCATAAAAATATATATGTATATATCCATATTATACATATAGAGGTATAATACTTTTTAATTCTCCAAATATAATATTATAAATAAAATTACATCTCAGAGTCTGACATGTGATTATATGTATAAATTGTCTGAAACAGACTTAAGAATTTGAATAGGTCAAATATGAGGATATTATTTTGTTGAGAATTATAAAAATATAACTTAATCTGAAAAAAGAAGAAAAAAATATTTAAACATTTTAATTACTGTAAAAATATATTTGTCCGCGATAGATTTTTCATTTCTCTTAAAAATTAATCTTCTTTCCAAATTTATTTTCTATTTTTGAATGCGGTTGCCGGTTGTCCTACATTTGGTCCAACCATCCAAATTGACCAGTCAATATAAATCGAAGATATCCAAACTTTTACTTGAGAATCTCCATAGCTGTCCTGCTCTATTCGACCCCTATCGCGGCGGTGAATCTCTATCTAACATTCTAACTGAATAACAAGAGAACGGCGCGTTACCAACCGTGAGGGTTGATCGATCCACCGGTTGCGCGCGCGCTCGCCGCATGCGCGGAATTAACCCGCCGACACGCCGCAAGTCGCGCGAGCGAGAGAAAGAGAAAGGCGCTGCCGACCGATAACTCTTGCGAGGGTGCCCGGGATCTGTAAATAAACGCACGAGTCTTTCCTCCTTTTTTTTGTCACCCTTTCGGGGTATCTCTCTGACGTGTCGCGCGCGGCAAGGAAAGACGCGCGGGCGTGGCCGCGCGAGGGGTGCGTGCGTGCGTGCGGTTAGCTCGCGTCAGCGCGCGACGTGTGCGCGTCGTCGCCCATCGTGCGGACGTACCCGGAGTCGATGATACCATCGACGGCGACGGCGGATGTACGGTGAACGTCGATCGGCTAACTACGCCATCAGGCTGCCGCCAGCAAGAGGGGAGGACGTCTGTCTCGCGTGCCAGCACACATCAATGGTTCAGGTGAGTGCGCGAGAGTAGCACTCGGTGCAACGGCAAGGGGGTGCACTCGTGGCGAGTGTGCGTCGTGGGGGCTCGCGCCGCTCGCGGTGACGTTGGAGTTGGAGGAGTTGCTGCTCGCCTTGTTTGTTGTGTTGTCGTTTGTCGTTGCTGGCGAACATCAGCTGTGCCCGACGACGAGCAGACCGCGAGAGAGATGTCGCCACTCGAGACGAAACCACCCCTCACGTGGTGGTGGTGGTGGTGGTGGTAGCTTTCGGTTGCTCTTGCTTTCCGTTTCAATTTTTTATCTCTCCCCCCACCCCCCGTTTGATATAGCGTCGAGTTATCGACGCGTTGCTAAGGGTTAGATAGTCTATCCTGATTTTTAATTGATGTAACAAGTTCGTGCAATCCATAACGTCGGCAGCTACGCTGCTATCCTGCTGCCTTATTCATAATTTATGACATTGATGTACAGCTTTCCTGCGCGCGCGGATATACGCTTCGTCCGTGATGGATGCACGTATTTGCGCGCGATGCGTTATTATTTGTATCCGCTGTCATCGATGGTGGCTAAGATATCCAGGGTCGATAGGTACGCTTATGAGTTTTCATATCGAGCTATGATATTTTGGAGAAACTTTATTTGCAGCTGTAGGAAATCACGTATTGATAAACAATAAAAACGTTATAATATCATACGTGATATTAAATCTATATTTTACCTGGGGAATTCAAATACATCGTGTGCAAATAGATTTTTTTATCAAATAAATGTGGAATAAAATAAAAAATCTCGATAAATTTATACCTGTACTCTTGCTTGTAATAAAAAAATTGTATGTACCAAATATCATTTTAAACTCTTTTAAATTCGGAACAGCATTAATTGACGAATCAATTCAATCGCTTCGTAATCCTTAAGTCCTGCGATAAAATCGTACGCATGGAACAGAAGTGGAGAGAGGGAGACGGTTTTGAGCACAATGAGTACCAACACACACGAATCGCCTCGTAATCACATAGTTCCCGTATAACAGTGTTCAGCATCTTGCGATCGCGCGAGTGCAGGACCATGAAAATCGCGCAGCATTCAATACAACTATTAATCCGCGATCCGTGATGAGGAGGGGTGGCAGATGTTGGAGAAAGGGAGAGAGAGGGAGCGAGGTGCGCGCGGCTTAAATCCTGTATAATCAGTTCCGGTTCTGTGGCGGTCCTTTATGTAAATGGATAATGGTTCTACAGCGGTTGTGGCTGGGTTCCTAGACGGCGAGTACGTTGCTACTGCCGAAGGGCAGTTCATTAACTGCCAGACCGGGTTCGATGAGAGAGTTGCGATTCGACAGGGAGAGCGAGAGAGTAAGAGAGAAGAACAGAGGGAGAGAAACGAATGAGCGCGCGCGCGCGCGCGCGGTGTGGCTTTGAAGTGGTAGGCGCCTCGCGGGCGTCCAGCGCGGAACAACGAGAATTATCTTCTATTTCTCTACGTTCGCTCTTCTCCCTCGGCATCCGTTTATGCCCCGTCCATCCCTTGACACGCGCGCATCTATACAAGAATACGCTCCGTTGATTGGGACGCTTTAGGCGAGGCAATAATCGTGCCGATTATCTGGCCCTGTAAAAGCTGTCTTAATGAGTTGACGGCGAACGAGGGGTGTTAATACACGGTGCTTTCGTATTCATTTCGTATTAGGTTTCACGATCTCGCGATAAAAAATTGTTGGCTCATATATTAACGTGAAGAAACAGGGCGCTTCGATTTTCGTCCAAATAATGAATATATTGCATGCAAGTAAATGGATTAAAAGTGATGAATATTGCCGAGCGAGCAGTTCGTATGTTGCTTATCTAACAAAATATACAATATACAATTACTCGATATAAACTTCGTCACAGTTTATATCAATCGCTTGAGAAGTCTCGCGACGGTTTAATTTCTTTACGTGCATGTAATTAAGGACTGCTCCAAGTTATAACGGATATAGAAATAGATTATAGTATTTGTGTCACGGTTCCAGAATGAGCAATTAATGTTTGAGGGTACATTACTCGCTATTGCATCGGAACTGATTTCGCGTAATCTAATTTCTTTATTTTCTGAGAGCGGCGATCTCTATGAGAGTGTAAAATGCACCTAATATTTTATTTCGATACAGTTTTCTACAAAAATTTATATAACGTGGCTTAAGATAGGAACGCCAATGCATGCGTGCGTAATTGTTCGTAATCTAAAAAGCAGATTATAATGATAGCAGCTTATTTAATGACTCCCTGTCGAAATAATCTTTAACGGCGTAATCACTGTCCGCCTAGTGCGTAGACAAAGTTTCTCAAACACGCGAGTGATGATTTTATCCATATTTTACGCTTCCATAAGCCTGTATATTGCATGAATGCCCGTGTGGAATCGACGGCGGTTTTTTCCTAATTACGGATTCATCGCGCGTTAATTCGTCCACTCTGCTACGTTGTCCCGTTAATTATCGGCTCGGCTCATCACTCCGCTTGGCAATTATTAACGAATAAATCTAATAATTAACAGCGTTTCATTAACGGCCACATCGATACCGACGATTATTTATGTAAACTGTTATTATTTATGTTTTAATTGCGGCACGTTTATTATTCTACATCAGGTACATTAAAGCCCTTTTTCCCACGATGCTAGTCGACGAGCTCGTAATGGTTTACGCCAATAGTTTTTACGCAAGTAACAATAGGAGCGTTAAGTTTGCCATGTTAAATGATAATAATTATTACGCTTGCAAAATATTAAAGAAGATTATTATTCATTGGAAGTATAATCATTTCTGGCATTGATTAACGGAATTTATTAGTGTTCTGTGTTCTCTATGTACATAAATACGAATGCACATTCAGCAGAAGAGATTAAAAAGTTCTACATTTCGTGTTTTTTTTTTTTTTAAATATGTGGTGCAATTTCTCTCACTGCTTTCACCTTCTCATTCTGTTCATCGATATTCCCACAATAACTCGCTGCCGATGAACGTTTGATAAAATATTCCGGTCATCTCAAAGCTTTCCACATATTTCCACAATGAATAATTAAAACATGTGGTGCACAAACAATACTCAAAATTCTAAAAATAAAAGAATAGATCAAGATATTTGCAATATGACAGTTTTTATTAGATCGGTGCAAATTTTCAATTTTTAAGTAGTTGGCAAAAATGTTACGATTCTAAAATAGGATCAATATAATTCGTTAACGCTATCGGTATTGATTTCAAATAGGTATTGATCATCAGTGTCCGACTGACGGGCTGAAATGGATTTAGAATTACGGTGCTCAGGTGTGCGCGCCCTGCAGAAATGTATCGTCGAACGTTCGTAACTGGTTTTTCGCTTCGCGTTACGTCACGTCGTCGAATGAGCTGACGAAAATCAGCGTCCGTATAATCCGCCGGATGCTTGATCGGCCAGCCCGGAGCGAAAATATAGAGTACTCGACGATATACCGACCTCGAAACGACCAATTTATTCGCGGTCGAGTTACCCTTCTGTGCCACTGCTCTCGTTGATAGTATCTCCTGCCAGCGAGCAGCGTCCGAAATCATCGGTCTGAACTATCGACCTCCCGTGTATTTGGGATGCGAGGATGTCCGATAGAGTCCTCTTTTTCATCCCCCCCTCTCGTCCATCCAATCTCTCGCTCTTTCGCTCGTCAACCTCGTAACTTGTTTGATTTCAATCATTTTCGAGTGTTTTCAATACATTTTCCAAGTGTTTTCGATGCGAGGCTCGCGAGAGCGCGACCAGGTATATTGTTTTATCGTTTCCGGCTGTTTTCAATGGGCTCGGGGATGCGTGCCGGATATGCGAATCGAAAACGTTTGCATTATAGTGGATGCCGAATACCGACACCGTCCGTCTGAAGTCCCTCGGCGCTCTGGACGAAATATTTTTATTTGTTTATTTATTTATTTATTTTTTTCGACATCCATGCACGCTTCCGTTTTGCACGCTTACACTCCCCGTCATTTTTCACATGATACACAGCGCTGATTCTGTATGATGAAGTACGATCTTGGAATACGCGCTGCCGTACCGTGCTGAATTTGATGAAGGGCCCTTATTAGAGAACGAACACCACGTATTTTCGCATTCCAATCGCCGAATATAATATTTACAGATTCCCCGAAATAAGAGATATGCGAGAGAGTAATTTAATTTCACGTTCGAAAAATTCTCGAAAAAATTTTTCCCGCGTTGTTACGCATTGTTATACGTCAGAGAGTATGAATTAAAGTAATCCAGGTCGTTCGGCATTATTTAATTTATTTTTCCCAGAGAAGTATGCAGCTGAATTTATCACTCTATTTAACGCGAGTTTGTCGAACATTTTTTTTCTTTGCTTAATTAAGATTCGGCATATTTGCTCGGGAATTTAAAGTAAATTATTGTATAGGAAGTAAATTGTTTCCAATTAATTAAAATTTTGTGCGTATCTCGTTACATTTAGAGGCAATATATTATTAAATTACACCGCTAAATGTACTCCTACGGGTATACGTATGCGTATTTCAACAAATTAAAAACCGTATTCACAATTCACATTTCACGTTTAACGTTTTTAGGATATCATTTTTTATTCGTTACACCGGCGCATATTTAATCAGTCCCGGCTGATTTTCAGCGTTAGCAATGGCGCTTCGTGCATGAGATGCAATAATTACTCGCCGAGACGACTCCGGGTGACGTAATTTACATGTCTGAGAAACAGAAAACTCGACGAAGTAGGCTTGACTGCCTGTCGCGTCTTCCGTGTTTCCCAAGTCGTCGTGGACCACTGTTTGCATCGTCGCGTCGCCGCGCCGGCTGCCAGTGACACGTCTTAGAATCACAGCTTGTTTAATTATCTCAGAAGTTATGCAAAGCAAATACGTGCAACGGCAGGAAAATTGAAGATGCGCTAATTATCGCGTAAAGACGCAAAAAGATGGGTTCGCGAGTAAGACAGGGGATGAGAAGGAGGAGTAAGAAGAAAGAAGAGGGCG